GAATGGAACTGCTAACCAGCAATATTGAAAGTCACCACTGACCATTGTGGCAGCTCTGGCATGCCACTGAGCACTGCCACCTGGCACTGACACACACTTCATGCTCTTAGAGCAACAATGAACCTAGGGGATAGTTTCTTCTGCCTCTCTTGTTTTGTGAAAATCTTTTATTCTGGAGCAAACCTGTATTTTGTGTATGCCATCAGAAAATATCTTCTCTGTCCCACCAGCTGGGAGCTATGTAGGCAGAGACACCACCAATAAAATATGTATTTGTGTGAAATCAGTGAAAGTTTTCTGACAGTGTTAACATTCTTCATGCTTATTTGTCAGCATTAAATTGTATGAAAGTCATCCAATGGACTGGCTGGATGGACTCTATCCAAAGCCATAACTTTCAGGTAATGGATAATGAGAAATTTTTGTGCTTCTCATGTTTTACTTTTAACTAAACCAAAAATTTGAGCCCTTGTCGATAATCATTTTATTTTATCCTCATGATAAGGCAAAATTAAACTTAAGATAAAACCAAGATATAGCATCCAAATGCCCCAATTAAGTAAGACAGAGGTAGATATACAAGTCCCGATTACAAACATTCTTTTCTGATAAATGATTCCTTTTCTGTGGAAACAGGGCAAACATGGACAAGATTAATAATGCAAAAAAGAAAAAATCTAGACCCCTCTGAAGCACTCTCCATGCAAAAAATCAAACTTTGGAGGTGACATAATGTCTGGGCATATTCATACTAAGGAGGTTAAGGAATCCTATTAGTATCTATAAGCCAAGTCACCTATTTTAAAGTGAGGAGCCCAGGATAAGGAGCAAAGACAGAAGAAATCCCATTAGCTGGGAATGAAGTTGATGGTCACTGAAAAGATTAACTCTTTGCAAAAGGTAGTAAGCACCCCTAATACCCTGCTGATGAGCACAGAAGCATCTCCACCTCTCAGTTTTCATTATTACCAGGAGCAGGGCGAAAGGAATCCTGAGGGCCAAGGCAAGTGGGTGTAGTGAACATGCACCACGAAGACCAGCGGGAAAGCTCTGGAAACTGCTGGATCATCAGATCAATAGTCTCAAAGATGACTAAGTTCGGTTGCTTTATGCAGTTTAAACATTTGTGCAGGGAGTCTTCCCCACACAGTCTTTTATTGACAGCTACAGATCAATGGTAATTTTTGATCATTTTCAACCTACATAAACCTATTGACCCCACGGCCACCTTTGGGGCACTTCAAGTCGTCAAAAATAATCAGAGGAGATGGTGTAAAGTTGTCAGACTGCTGAAGACTCCAAGTAGTTTCGTGTGCCCCCAGGAGCAGAATTGAGGGGTTAGAATGTAGTTCAAATTGCCAGCAGAACATCTACTGGCTGAGTGTTGCAGGGGGTCTTGTCTTTATGTCTCATAAAAGGACGTGCTGTTATGTATCTCAAATCTGACCCACATGCATGTGAGTTTTTTTTTTTAAGCATCAATCTCATTAGAAATATTAGATTGCTGAGAATGAATCATTCCTGCGTTCCTTTATTTAGTCATTCTTTTCATAAACTGCCTAAGAAAAATAGTTGGTACTTCTAGAATAAAAGAAAGTATGAATATTATGTGAGTGTGAACATAAAAAAGGACACAAGTATAAGTTGGCAATCCAGAGATCAGGCACAACAAAAAATACATATCTCCAAAGAATTAGTAGGATGGATGAGTTTAAGGGAAGATGTGAGTAAAAGAATGACTGAGAAGAGTAAGAATATCGAGTTAGCACTGTCTCTCAAGGGGAAGGAGTGTTTAGTTGTCAATAAAGATCTTTTCTAGCCGGTGGGACAGAATGCTACTGCCTCAAAGAAGGATTTGAATCCAGAACAGTTAAGCTCATGAGTGCTCAAGCAAGTATTCCACATTTAAGGAAAATAACAAGTAACTGAATCAGTGTATAGGCACAACTAATCCACAGAGTGAACCGTGCCCAAATTTTACACCAGGTTCTAAACAAGATAACTCATGTTGGAGACAAAATCAGGAGAGAATAATTATCTCCTAAAATGATGAAGAATAAAATGGTAAAGATTGTTTTACCATGTAAAATTTTTCTTCTTTTTTTTTTTTTAAATTAGTGTGGCTTTACTAAATTTTGAGGAAAAGCATGGCTATTCATGAAGTTTATTTAAGGGTGTGTGTGTGTGTGTGTGTGTGTGTGTGTGTGCACGCACGCACGCGCACACGTGTGCATGCACGCTTTATAACTCTTCAAAAGAATGTAATAAGGGAACTTGTCCTTAATATAAAGTTATAATACAAAAATTCTCCTTTATATCCCAATACAGGATCACTGCTTCATTTAAAAAACAAAAGATAGATAGATATAAGCCAAATCTAGCAAAACAACTGTTGTCATTACCTTGTGGAGAGGCATGACTCTAAATATCCCTGTGCCCACCAGGCACACACTTCAACCTCAGACCAGCAGGTCATATTTCTACACTGGATGGTGGAGGTTTGAGACTAGGGCATTTTGAATACTTCTGCTTTCAAGGATCGGAGCCATAAATGTTTATTAAAAGAATCTATAATGAAATCAGTTTTATTTTTTTAATGGTTGCCTGGAGTGTGTTGGATGGCTGAATGCCGGTTGTTAATCATTAAGTACTCGTGTTACCAAAAGTGTTTGATAGCATTGCCATCTAGGGGCTGAATGGAATTCTCAGCTCTGAAATAAACTGTAATTGAGCAGGTGCTGCTATTGACAATATACATATGTTTTTGCTTTATAGCCCACATGCTTTTCATGTTTCTTATGACAAAAGCTATCTCTAAATGTCCCCCACAGCCTAACTTTTTTATATGTAATCTGTTAGAGGTGATTACTATTTGCTTTGGAGCATATGCCTTTTTGGCATCTATTACCGGATATTCTGAACAAAGAATTTTTCTTTTTTGCATTATTAATCTTGTCCATGTTTGCCCTGTTTCCACAGAAAAGGAATCATTTATCAGAAAAGAATGTTTGTAATCGGGACTTGTAGCATCTTCAAATTTAATATTCATTATGGTCATCCTAGTTCAGTGCTATATTTATCTAAAAGACCAATCCAATGTTGTGGAGAAATAAGTTTTAAATATTTATGATCTAACTTTTAATATTTTAAAAAAGAGAAATTAGTATTTCTGTAAAATTTGTTTCAGAGTCTGGCCGCTTAGCAAATGTTTAAATATTAAAAGATTTCAGGAGGTTAGCATGTAATATCATAATGGACTTATTGAAACAGGAAAATTGACTTTACAACTTTTCAATAAGTAAAGAAAATTGTATTTTCTCTGCCTGTGTTTAATACATAAGAAACATTAAAACAGTTGAAACTTATAACCAAGAATAGAAGAAAACCATGTCAAAACTATTTCTAAAATGTATTTTGCCTTTGTCTAGCCAGGTTTAGTTTGGTTTTGTAAAATGGTCTAGTTTAATTTTGCCACCTTGCTTTAGAATTTATTCAAAATGGTACTTGGGTCCCCTTGCCATACACACACTTAAACAGAATTTCCTTACACATATCATTGTCCTATGCGCTGAGGTACCTACTTCTTCATCTCTCATTCCTCCTCCAGTACCAACAAGAAAATAGGACAATAGAAAACTGTCATTCCAAACATCTGATAAACTAAAGCTGATCTCACACATATGAAGCATAAATACCCTGTTAAGCTAGTCAAAATTTCCTCGTGATCACTCACATCCAATGGCTATGGTACACAACTGAAAATTTGTGTGTGTGTGTGTGTGTGTGTGTTTACCTGTATGCACATTACTGGTCCACTTGCAGACATAGCTCCTATCTGTAAAAAGTCACATCCATCCAGCCCAGATGTGGAAAGCACCCCTCAGGGTCTTTCAAAACATTAGGATTCTTAGGTCTAGTTTATTTATGCAAAATATGTTCAATGTTGCTGTCTAAGCAGAAAAAGCTAATGCTGCTATCCTTATTTTTTTTATACCCACAATAACCCAAATTCTCAAAAGCTAGCTAATAATTACTTTAGGTAAATGTCATGGTTTTAGTTATGGCGTTTTACACAAATGAGAACATTTTCACTTTTCCATTGATAATAGGCCTTGCTAGGGGTGTTTAGTTTTCTGGTGTTTGTTTTACTGCATTTGTAAGATATAAATACACACCAAGAGATTGAGAAAGGGAGATTAAAGAGATGGAGAGATCCATATGTATAAAGAAATGTATTTGGAGACAAATGAAAGAGAATCCCGAATCTTCAGGTTAAACCTCCAAAACCTTAGCTTGTCCCCTTTGCTGCCACGCAGCTTGGTTCGCCTCCCCGCAGCTCTGGTCTACACCCCAGTTCTTGTATGAATAAATAAATAAAAATCTTTAAAAAAAAAAAAAGCACAAGGTGATGCAGGCTTCCTTCCCATCCAAATGTAGAAATCTTACCCTAATTAAATGGTATAAAGCAAAGGAGTGATTATCATTCATTTATATGAAAAAAAAAATGTTTGAGCATTCCCAAACCCAAAAATTGCCTGCTAAATTTTACCAAGTAACACACTAACGTCTGATAAAAGCAAGAATGCCATGGTACAGACACAGCCAGTATAAAACAGTTCCAGGAGTAGCCTAGACAAGCCAGTCTTGCTGCTCAGGGCTCCACTGCCCTAGAATGGCTGCTGCAAAACCAACAATGATGCTCTTTTCCCATTTGTCCTAAAAGCAAACTCCTTTTTGGATTTTTTTTTCAGTTAGAGAAAACAAGTATTAATATCGTCTTCCATAAAAGTAAAGTGGCATAATGCCCACTCTGAAAAAACAGGAGATGCCTGTATACGTAGGATGTCGAGAACAAGGGAAGAAGCCACGTTATTTCCTAACCAATTCAAAACTTGCTGTAGTATTTGTACTGCATTGCTGATGTGCCTTGATCAGAGAATGACCTTCTAGTAACTATTAGAAGTTTCTAAAAGAAAACTAACCTGTTAATTTTCTTACAGGGAACAAGTCATCAAGCCCACCTATTTGGGTTAGAACCATTTACAACATATCATATTGGGGTTGTGGCTGCAAACCAGGCAGGAGAAGTTTCAAGCCCCTGGACTCTGGTTCAAACCCAGGAATCTTCCTCAAGTGGACTGAGAAACTTCACAGTTGAACAGGAGGACAACGGCCGGGCATTGTTCCTGCAGTGGTCAGAGCCGGTGAGAACCAATGGTGTGATTAAGGTAATGTCTACCCTGAATATGAAATCGTGTGTGGTATTCTCCAGATAAATAGATGAGCCCTGACATGCCATCAGGTCACTGTGGGAAGCTCCTTCACAGTCTGTTTAATTCTTCTTGATGGCTCCTCCAGGCATTTCATCAGAGATCACAGAAAAACTAGCTCATGTGCATTGTGATTGCTCTGAACCCAGCACTGGGCTAAGTGCTCTCTGTGGACCATCTCATTTAATCCTCTCGTCAACCCCACTAAGTAGGCACTGCGAAACCCCAGGAGCACATAAAGGCTAAAGGGCTGCCCAGGCCCACATTGCAATGGATCAATAGTTGGGATTGGAAGCTAGGACGTCACACAAGCTGATCTCTGGCTGTGTTCCTCCCGCCTCCAGGCTCTTCCTGCTGGTCATGTGCTGAGTCTGGCTGGATATGTGCTGTGAGCAGAACTTGCTAAAGCACAAGACAGGAAGCCCCCCATCCTGTTAACTCTACAACTTCCTTTTGTAGCCATGAAAAAGTCTTTTTTTCATTGACTCTTCACGATTCACCATTCATTCATTTTGGAGTCAGTTCCACGGCTTGACCTGTGCATGTGTTTCACTTACCCACCACCAAAGTGCAGTGGCACCCCAGTATGGAACTGACCCTCTGCTCACTGAACAGCCCCCCTCCTCTTCCCATCTGGTCATCATAGGTTTCACTAGATCAAAGAGTTATTTTGATTGTGTTTTGCTAGTTCATTTGCTTTGTTTGTAGTCCACAAATTGTTTATTTACATAAATGATCAGGTAATTGTCTTTCATTTTCTGACTTTTTTCACTTAACACAGTCACCTCAGGGCCCACTCATGTTGTCACAAATGGCAAGATTTTCTTTTTTAACAGCTGAGTAATATTCCATTGAGCATATATTCCACAATGTTTTTCATCCAGTCATCCATCAAAGGGCTTTGAGGTTTATTCCATGTCTTAGCTATTATGGCTAATGCTGTTATGAGCAAAGGGACACAGATATCTTTTTTTTAAATCTTTTTTTAAGATTTATTTATTTATGCATACAAGAGCTGGAGTACAGGCCAGAGTGTGGGGGTGAGACGATTCATCAGAGTCAGAGTGGAATACAGAACAGGCAGACTGACTGAAATATACTGCTGAGGGGAGCAGCGGGTGAGTCAGGAGAGGTCTGCGCAACATGTGGGACCCTCTCGGCAGCCGGGGATCGAACCTGTGCTGCAGAGGCTGCGGGCAGCTTTGCAGCCCAGCGCTCAACCGCTGCACCACCAGGGGAGGCCCTAAGCTGTAATTTTGGATAAAGCTTCCTTGAAATCCCTATGAGAGGGATAACCATAGGAAATTATCTACAATACTAACTTAGAAATGCAACTGAGGCTAATAGCCCGAGGATCATCCTGAGGGGCTCCCCATGACCATGGCTGCCCAGCTCCAGGCCTCTGGAATAGGAGGCTTGAGCCTATGAGCCCACAGTCTTACAATCCAACCTATAGTCCTAAAATCCCTGTCAGAGGACCAGTCTCTCCGCTCACTTCCATAAAATCCGCCCCAACAACCTTTGACAGTGTTTGCTTTGATCCCAGCACCTGTCTCTTTCCCCACTGCTGCCAACAGAAGTAGCTTGCATTTCACCACATATTTATCAAGCTTCTACTAAACATCAGGGATTTATTCAGGAATGAACAAGACAGGCAAGGTCCCAGTCATCATAGATCATGTGTGTATGTATGTGTGTGAGTGTGAGTGACTGTGTATGTATGTGAGTGTGTGTGGTGGGAGGTGACAGTGTATGTGAATATGGATGAGAGTGTGTGTGTGAGTATATGTGAGAGTTTGTGTGTGAGTGTGTGTGTGTGTACACATGGTGAGGGTATATAGATGCAATCAAAAAGCTAGGACACAAACAAACAGGAGAATTTCAGAGAATGACGAATGCCATAAAGAAAGTTAGACACAATAATGTAATTGTGTCTGCTCAGGCTATTTTGGAATGAATTTGAATTGACATTTGAGTTGAGCCCTGAATGACAAGACAGAGTCTCATCTGAAGATGTGGAAGCAAAATGTTCCAGACAAAGTGAGCAGCAAACACAAGGCCTAAAGCCAAGAATGAACTTGGCATATTCACAGAAAGAGAAGAAAGCCAGTATGGAGGGCACTGCGCTGGGAGGGAGAGAAAGATGACATTAGAAGAGATGAGAGGAACTGGTAGAAGGTAGACTAGGCCCAACCTTGGAGGCTTTGATCAAGAGTTTGGAATTTACTGAGTTTGAGAAGTTACTGAAGGCTTCCAGCAAAAAAAATTGCCCAAATATATGTTTTTAAAAATCACTCTGACTGCTCTGTGGAAAGTGGACTAAAAAGAGAACAGTAGAGTGTGAAAGCTACTAAAGAATTCAAGGTGGGGACTTGATTAGAAAGGGGACTGTGAAGACAGAGAAATGGCAGTGGGTTGAAGATAGATTCAGAAAGTCAAAATGAGAGGTGATTATTAGACCTGACGTGAAACAGAAAGGGGATACTTCAGAATTACTTCTGGGTTTGTTCTTGGACCATAAACTGGGGAGGGAATACTGGAAAATGTACTAGTTTGAGAGGACAAGTCAGTAGTTGTAGGTAAAAGTCTAGGAATTTCTAGAAAGTTCTTCACTGAGATGTAGACATTTGGAATTTGTCAGCAGGTGGCTGATATTTAAGCCCATGGGTCTGGAAGACATCATCCTTGAAGAGACTAAATAGAGATGATAAAATCCAGGAGCCAAGCCCTGGTGAATACTAACATTTGGGGGGTGAAGAGGAAGGTGAGGAGCCTCCAAAGGAGAGTGAGAGAGGCATGAGAGGAAGAAGATGAGTGGTCAGTCCTGAAAATGAAGAGAAAATATGACAAACTGGGTTGAGAAATGAAGTCAAATGAGGGCAGAGGAGTCGCCCTGGGTTTGGAAAAGAGGAAGTGGTTTTGATCTTGACAAGAAGCTCAAGTGGTAAAAGGGGAAAGCCAGACTGGGATGACTTGAGGGAAGAACAGCAGGTGAGGTATGAGGGCAACTCTTTAAAGATGTTTGCATAAAAAAAAAAAAAAGCAGAAAGTAGGGCAGCATGTGAGGGAACCATGGTGTCAAATTTTCTTTAAAAATCAATAAAAATACTAGAGTACACTGAAATACTAATGGAATATGCCCAGTAGAGAGAGATTAATTGGTGACACAAGAGATAATGAGAGTAATGGCAGGTGTGAAATCTTTCAGAAAGACAAGAGTGATGGATCCCGTGCTCGGGGCAGAGGTACTTCATCCATAGCAAACAGAAGGCAGGAAAGTAATGTAAGTTTGAATTCACATGGATATGGTGGGGGGTAATACATAACGGGAGAACACTCCTTCCTCAGTGCTTCTACTGTCTCAGTGGAATATGTGGTTATGTCAACAGCCAGCGTGAAGGAGGGAAGAGAGTTTGGGTGGCTAGTGGGGTAAAGAGACACATTGAAATAATCACTCTGAAAAGTCAGAGAGTAAACATTTTGGGAAATAGAATAGGACTCTAAGTTGGTTATCACCTGCTTAGAATTTAGGGTAAGAAATTTGAAGTGAGACCCATCAGCATGTATAGGTATTTTTCTCCAAACCCAGGGGGAGCTTGGGTACAAAGGAAGAGCCAAATTTAACACCAGTTAGATATTGACCAAGATATTGACCAACGAGCAGCAAGAGGGCAGGCAGGCAAGATTCAGAAAAGACACTGTCCACCTTCCCTTAGGGGTATTGTCTTGCCCTAAGGCCCCAACAAGAAAATCCTACCAAAATACTACCACCCAACGTAATTAGATTACCAAAGATTTAAGATTATAGAAGATTTATGATTCTGAATAGATGTAAGCTATGTAATCTTAAGTAATGCTCATGTGTATCAAAAATCCGGGTGAAGTTCCTTCCCCTGGAAACACCTATAGGAAACTTTCAAGGCAGCTGTGCCCTGCTTGGGACTCTGACATGTGTCTCCCTCCCTTTTGGGGTTTCAGCATCCTAGGGGGTCACCTTGGACAGGAATGTATCTCACCTCTCAAGTGCACTGACTAGGACACCACTGTTTAAAAGCATTCAAGTTACTTCCCATTTTTCCTAAAGAACAAGGAATATATAGGATAAAAATGTGCTCTGTATTTGTTTAATTTATATGCAGGTGGTTTTCCCAGGACAGAAGAATCCTTTGCTCCAAAGTATTCTTCCATGGCTGGTAAGAGAAAACAGGATTTTTTTTTTTCCCATTGTCTGGTCATCAAAGCTTGTATCTATATATCTGCATGTGGGTGTAGCATATCCATGCATCTGTGAGGGCTGGTACACGCACTGTCAGCCCTGGCCCCTGGGGGGGGTGGCTGAGTAATCACTAGTGTCTTAGTCTAGTGTCATCTCCTATAAATAGCTTGGGAGAGAGAATGATGTGCCTGACTTACCATCCTCAGCCTGAGATCAGACTGGATAATACCTGCAAAGTAGGAGATTTACATACAATTCCTGACTTCTAAAACATAAAAATAGGAGGAAACCCCAAGAATACTATAGTTAGCCCCCAACTTACAATGATTCAACTTAATTGACTTTTCAACCCGTACATGGTGGAAAGGTGATAAGCTTTCAGTAGAATCTCTATGTCACGTTTTGAATTAGACATTTTGGTTTCATTTTCAATATAGTTTTCCATAAATAATGTGAGATAGTCAACACTTTCTTCCAGCATAAGCTTTAAGTTAGAGACCTTTGCTGGACCACGGTGACTGCAAGCATCTGAGCACATTGAAGGTGGCCAGGCTGTGATGTTCAGTAGGGTAGGTGTGTTCAATACATTTCAACTTGGAATATTTTCAACTTAACGAGAGGTTTGGCGGGACATAACTCCATCGTAAGTTGAGGAAGGTCTGTATTTAAGTCCAGGAATCAAGTCCAACAAATACATACTTACAAATATTCAGCCTTAAAAATAAAAAAATAAAGACACTTACACTCCCAAAATTAAAATCAGGATTTTTTTTTTCTGAACTAGAGGCATGAAAATGAGGAAAAGGGTTAAAGGGATGAAATAGCTTACTAAGAAAATCAAATGCCTCAAGTTGTTTTGCTTTGCCCCTCTCCTTCCTGCAGGCCTACCACGTCTTCAGGGACAGCGTGCTGGAGTACTCCGGCCTGAAGCGTCAGTTCCTCTTCCGACGCCTTCACCCCCTCACACTCTGCACGCTGACCCTGGAGGCCTGCACGGGGGCAGGCTGTGCACACGCGGCGCCCCAGCCTTCACGGATGGGGGAAACCCCTCCCCGCTCCCAGGTGGCTCCTGCCGTGCAGTCTGTGGGGCCCACCAGTGTGGAGCTGAGCTGGACTCAGCCTGTCAACCCAAACGGAAAGATCCTTCGCTATGAAGTGATGCGCAGATGCTTCAAGGAAGTAGCTGGGGGGAATTCGACAATCCCAGGGGAGGAAAAGATAGTTTTCACAGAATATAATACTGAAAGGGAGACCTTTATGTATAATGATACAGGTTTGCAGCCATGGACTCCATGTGCATATAAAATCTATGCTTGGAATTCAGCAGGCCAGACCAGTGGCTCGTGGACTATGGTAAGGACAATGCAAGCACCCCCAGAAGGTCTTTCTCCACCCAAGATAACTTACGTGTCTGCGAATCCCAACAAGCTGCTGATTTCCTGGATCCTTCCAGAACAATCTAATGGTGTCATCCAAACCTACAGGCTTCTAAGGAATGGGGTGCTCCTTCCTTTCAGCTTTGATGCTATGACTTTTAATTACACTGATGAGGAGCTGATTCCCTTTTCCACATATAGCTACGGGCTCAGAGCCTGCACCAGGGGAGGCTGCACCACCAGCAGCCCTGCCAACATCACTACCCTGGAGGCTGCTCCAGCTGGGCTCAGCCCTCCAGCTTTTCAGGTCATTGGGGCTACCCAAATAAATGTATCTTGGTCCCCACCATCAGTTCAAAATGGAAATATCATAAAATATTTACTACGGTGTGATGGTACAGAGTATCCAGCAGAGCAGGGCCTGACCCTGCTGGTCTCCCAGCTGCAGCCTCACACTCAGTATAACTTCTCGCTAGTGGCCTGCACGCTTGGGGGCTGCACAGCTAGCGAGCCCCAGTCTGCCCGGACCATGGAGGCCCCCCCTCAGTACATGGACCCCCCGAGATTGCAAGTCACAGGTTCAGCATCCATAGAAATCACCTGGAACCCTCCCAGAAATCCAAATGGCCAGATCACAGGTTATGAACTGTGGCGGAATGGAGCCCTGGTGTACACTGGTCTGGGCACTCACTATCATGATTTTACTCTTGCCCCGGGCATGGAGTACGGCTACACAGTGGCCGCCAGCAACAGTCAAGGGAGTGTCTTGAGTCCAGTCGCCAAAGAGCAAACCAGCACCTCAGCACCCTCAGGCCTGGAACCCCCCAAACTGCAGGCCAAGGGTCCTCATGAGATCATGGTGACCTGGGACCCTCCACTGAGGACAAATGGCCAGCTCATCAACTATACCCTCTTCATCCATGAGCTGCTGGAAAGAGAAACAAAAGCCATACACACAAACTCAACTCAGGAGCCTGCAGGCACACAGTCGCTAGTAGTGAGCCAACTGAAGCCATTTCACAGGTGGGTAGGCACCTCCAGGTGGCCTTTCTATCATCTAAGCACTCAGTCAGTTTAAATGAAGATTCCAGAAGCAAAGTTCTATGATGTCCCCAAACCCCACCCACCTAACCAACTCGTGGACACATCACCCAGTCCAAACCTGCTTGCGTAACTTCTAGAGCAAAATGCTCCCACGCTGGTGATTCCACACTGTCTGGACCAAGTGGCCCAGAGGAGGGGCCAGGTCCCTAAATCTCAGTCCCTCCTAGAAGCACACTGGCCCCTGGACAGCTCTGAGAGCCCCAGGTGGGTCACTGAATGGAAATGGATATTAAGTTAAAGAAGAAAAAAATACCAGTGAACAGGAGACTTTACCCTCCCATGCTGAGACCCACCAAAACTGGTTCTGGGGAGCCCTCTTCTTATGGAATACAGCTCTTCTCCAGGATATTGAGGCTTCTCTATTTCCTCAGTCTCCTAGGCCTCCCCCAGCTCTGACCTTGTGGCTTCTCAGGACAGTACTGCTTTGCTCCTGCCTGTTTTTGCTGTGCTCCTCTCTGTGCTCACAGATGTGTATGGGTGTGTGTTACCCTCCACACTAGGGAAACTTACCAGCAGCCCATAGATTACAGAATTGCTTGGCACTTTCCCCAGCACATTTTAAGTAAGTTACATCCCCAGAGAGAAGAGTAATAAAAGACATTTTATGCTTAAAATTTAGTAAAATGAACAGAACCACTTTAAAAATATAAAAGGCTGAAAGTGTTGATTTCCAACCACCATTGGTAAAATTCAGCCATTATTGTAATCTACTGGGGTGTAGATTGGGTCCTCCTATAATTATCTTTGATATACAGTGCTGTTGAAATGAAACACTCATGGTCTTTTGTGACTATCTGTGACAATTATTTAGGGTTGCATTAAATATTAAACAATAATTAAAACTTTCACAGGTAGCTTCCATGGTAATCCACATGCGGTGTGGCTGGATTTTACCTTCCCCTTGCCAGCACACTAAAAAGAGTCCACTGAGCTACAGTCTCTACATTTTATACCAGCTTCCTCTTTGCCTGACTGGTTCCCTGCAAGTTTCAGGGAAACTTTTTGAAACTCTTACTCAAAAAGATTTCCAAGGAAGAAAAAGATTTCCAGATGTGAAAAGATCACTTTTTTTTTTCCAAGACTAGAAAAATAAAGTTTGATTGATCACAAACCCAGCAAAGATTTTTAGTAGACAAGCGATGTCTTTTCATTATCCACAATAACTGAAGATGTAAGTGAAATGAATGACTTAAAACAGAATACCACTTCTATATGAAGATGGGGCTCATGTAGTTTTAGATTTTCCAGCAAATTATTGTTTACTGAATATTGCAAATTAATTAGTGTGTCCTTGCTGTCACAACCCCCACCTGGCCAGTCGGTGGATCACCCTAAGTGGCAGAAGGAAAATGACCCAGATGTTTTGTTGTTTTTTTTTTTTTTTTAACCACAGGTAATTCAGAAAATGCCTAGGGAAATCAAATGCTTAGGGAAATCAAACAGACCTCAGAATGTCTAACAGTCAGAATGGCCCTACATTACTATGGTTTCGTGGTCCTGTAAACTGGTAGCCCTGTGACCTTGCAGTGGAGATGTGCAGGAGAGGGACGAGAGGGAAGTGAGGAGCAGAGTAGAAAGAGATCACCATGCAATCAAGAATGGGGAGAGGAGAAACAGAAAGAAAGCAAGTAAGAGAACAGAGGGCAGAGAAGCAAAGAGGAGAGGCAGCAAACAGAAGCGACAAAGGCCAGAACTCAAAGAAATAAAGGGAGAGAGAAAGATGGTAGAGGCTTGCTGGAAAATTAGAGGGGCCGTAAAATCACTGGGGCATAAGAACAGAGGGAAGAGCTCTTACTGCAGCCATAGGCACTAGGTACTAACCCAGAGTCCCATTTGTGGGAAGGCAGTCGTCCCTGCTATGTGTATAGACCTTTCCATGTGACAGCAGATCAGCCATGAGGCAAAGCATAATTGATTGTTTGACTTGAACTAGAGGGTGATAAGGTGTCTCTGTGATTGATAATCTAGTGTGTAGCTGGGTTCACTTTGGCCCCACAAGGTCCTTGTGTGATGTAAGAGAGCCTGTTTTAAGATGTCAGGTATCAGGTAGGGGATTTATTACCACTGAGACCTTCACTCCACGAGGCTCCTTCATGACCTAGAAACATTCCTGAGGGTCTTTGAGCTTCAGATGCAGAAGTAGGAGGAGCCCAGGACTGCTGAAAACTGGTTCAGACTCCCAACATCTGCATTCTTCATCCTTCTATTCAGTAATCCAGCAGATACTTTCATGCTAGGAAGTATCCCAGAAGTTTATTTAGTCCATCCTTCCTTGTTTGGGGCAGGATTATGCCCACCCTTTCCACGCAGACAGGAGGCTTTAAAATATCCTCAAATTTCCATGGAAATAAGAATTTCTTGTTTGTTTGTTTGTTTAAAAGGTAGCTGTAAATAAGAATAAATGAAATGTATTTGTCTTTTGTGTATGTGTGAAAACCCTTGGCTTCCTACAATGGAAATCAATTTTGCCAGTAATGGGCCATTTCTGCCTTGTGTCCTGCAGGTATGAAGTCCGAATTCAAGCTTGCACCAGTCTGGGGTGTGCCTTGAGTGACTGGACATCCACACAGACCCCCGAGATTGCACCACTGCTGCAGCCACCCCCTCATCTAGAGGTCCAGAGGACTCCAGGGGGATTCCAGCCCTTGGTCTCCCTCCTATGGTCGGGACCCCTTCAGCCCAATGGAAAAGTTTTGTATTATGAAGTGTACAGAAGGCAAGTAGCAGCACAGCCTGAAAGATCAACTCCCGTGCTGACCTATAATGGAAGTGCCAGCTCTTATGTGGACTCAGAACTCCTGCCTTTCACGGAGTATGAGTATCAGGTAAGAGATGTGTATTAGTCACCACTCACTCTGAGATGCTCACGCATATCTACACCTGCTTGTAAAAATTGCTTACAATTTGAGAAACCACTTTAAAGAAACATGGAGCTGAGGAATTCAATAATAATCTTTAAAAAAATTGAAGCAGTAAATGAGGGGCAGAAGTCCATATTAATTTACCTTCTTCATTTTCTTGGTTCTTGATCCATATGATATATGCTTGCTATTCCTGTGTAGATTTCAGGCTAAGTATTTGCATTTCTTATTAATGATGTGGTATCCACCACCAAGCTTTCCTCTCTCAGCTTTGCCTTGCTGGGGGATACACCTACATAGAAGATCACTTTGTAAACATAAAAGCTTATGAAAAGCATGTGCTCCAGAAAGGTAGGAAATATTCTAGAAAATTCTAGAGGAAAACAATGGACCTGTGCATTGGGAAGATTTAAGTTTTTACAGGGACAGCCTTGAAAATAGGACTTCAGCTATCCCCACAAAGAGTTGTAAAAAATATTTTGAATGTACAATTGATTCATAAGTAACATGGCATGAGCTGCCTGGGTCCACTTACACTTAGTTTTTGGGGTTGGGGTTTTGTTTTCAATAAATGCCATTGCTTCTCCATAGCCACAGGATCCATAGCCACATTCACAGATCCAGCCAACTGCACATGTTGGTTGGTTGAGTTCTTGGATTCAGAACCTGCAGAGAAGGAACTTGAGCATCCTGGGATTTTACTATGGGGGCATGGGATATAAGGAGGTATCCTGAACCAATCACCCCTTGAATACCAACGGATAACTTTAGTTAAACTTTGGGAGGATCAAAATTTGTACAAAAATCTACATTGTTCCTGGGGGGAAGAGGCTGTATCCTGAAATCTGGGAGGGCTTCTGGTAGGTCTGTTTTGCTGTCAAAATGCATTATCCTTTTGTAATAGCAGCCCATTTCCGGTGGGGCGTGATCCCCCATGCCTGCTCAGGCCTGATAGGGGTCCTCATTGTATCAAGCTGTCTCCTAGCCCCGTGGTGGGGCTTGATCTCCAGCAGCATGACTCAGTTTTAAAAAGTGGAGGTGAGAACTCTTGATAAAGTAGCCCTAGCCTCAATCTGAAAGCTTTTCTTATTCCTGCTATTTCCAATGCCCACATGATTCTTCACCTATTCTTTTAATCCCATGTAGTCCTGGTCAATTCTCTTTTTGTTTAAGTCAGAGTCACTTTGTTGTATTTTCTCCCAGAGGAAGCTTGCTGATTGAATCAGCACTAAGTGCAAGCTCAACTTTTTAAGAGGAAACTGAACATTGAAATGCTCATCTTAACCAAAAAATAATAAACTCTCTATATCACCAGGAAAAGGAGAGCAAATCCATAAGTACAATTATTACTGGTGTCATTTTTAGTGTGAAAAGAGTATAGTTTTGGCTAATAATGTGTAATGTAAGAGACAAATTACCTAATGAATTTAGTAAGAAATGAAGCTATAAATAAATTATTGAAGGGTTTGGAAAAGTACACAGACATAAATCCATAGTCCCCTGCTCAAAATTTCAAAGCTAATCCTCTCTTAAAAGCAAAAGTTTGTTTTAAGTTTGGCCCAATCCACTTGACAGCGAAACTCAACATAAACAGACTTGAAACTTTGTAAAGCATTTATTTAGCCCATTTAATATAAGCATTTATATATTTTGCTGCATAAATATTGTGTTTTAGTACAAGATCATACTGGGGACATTACAAAATATACAGCATGTGAAATTTATTACCTTCCCCAAATCTAAAAAAAAAAAAAAAAATTATTTAAAAATACATCAGGCCTCGGGCCTCCCCGGTGGAGCAGCGGTTGAGCCCTGGGTTGCGAAGCTGCCCGCAGCCTCTGCAGCGCCAGTTCGATCCCCGGCTGCTCCCCAGCCACAGGAGGAGGGTCCCACATGGCGCACAGACCTCTTCTGCCGCCCGCTGCTCCCCTCAGCAGTGTACTCAGCAGTCCTTCTGCCTGCTCTGCTCCCCGCTCTGGCTCTGGTGGATTCTCTCACCCTCCTGCACTTCTGACTGTACCCAGTGCTCATATAAATAAATAAATAAATAAATAAATAAATAAATAAATAAATAAATAAATATTTAAAAAAAAAAAAGATGAAAAATACATCAGGCCTCACAGGCTTAGGACATTGATTGTGAGTCATATTGCAGAGGAACAAAATACCTATTGCTGTTATTGTTGGAGACAAAATCCTGTTAGAAACAGCCAGAACCTAGGTGGCCATCCTTTTGTTCTTTCTCGCCATCTTTACCCCTGTTCTCGATTATCTGGTCTCCTTTGTGAATAGAAACACGGCTCTGTGAGAGAGCAGGCCAGAAATGGCACAACATCCTTGGCCTCTAACTAGATTCAACTAAAAGATTAAACAACACGCTGAAAGCAAACCAATGATTGGTTTGAAACTGGCCACAGGGCCGTGAGAGAGACATCTTGTCACTGGACAAGGGGGCGGCCCCAAGGCCAGTCAGCCCACTCCCCGCCTTCCCCACAATATAGGAGATGTCAGGAGTGGAGCAGTCGCTGTGTCTCAGTCTTCACAAGTCAACCCAGAGCTGGGCACTCACCCCTAGGGTCAGGTACTTTACTGTGACCAGCAGAATGGGGGACCATGAGTGCAGAGACTGGGTGTGGAGCCTCCAAGTGTGTGAGTAGACAGTTCACAGAGCCCCCAAGTGAGGTTTCATGAGTGTACAGGAAAGACCTGAGTCAGAATTGAGAGCAGCTCAGTGCACACACCCACTGTGAAATATTTATTTTTCCTATGTGCTTCCCCCATCAGATGTTCACAGTTCACAGTTATTTCTCACATTAAAAAAAAGTAAGTGGAAATCATAGCATTGGGCAAGATACTGAATTTCTCACAGCCTCACATGTTTGCATAACAAATGGGTGTGAGAACTCAGCAATCTCGTGTGTCTACCAGGATGCCGGCTCCATGGTAGGGTGTCCTCCCACTGCCCCCGCAGGCCCCTTGCTAAAACACTTTCTTCCAAAAGGAAAACTGCCCAGGGAAGAGAACTCTCCTGTCAGTGAGTCATTCGTATGTGTAGAATGTAAATCCCAGCCCAAGGCCCTTCAGTGGGACAGGCCACCCTCCCTTGCCCTTGTCTCCCTCCACCTCTCCTCTGGGGAAGAGGCAGACCCCTCCCACCCCTCACCATCCAGTTCTGCGTTCCTGTGTGGCCGCTTGCTCCCAATGCTGGTTTCTGTTCCTCTCACCTCTACCCCACCCTTTCAAAGCATTTCCATATCACATTTAGAGAAAACTCACCGAGCACGTTTCCTGTTGGTTTTGGACTTGCATTTAATTAGGTATTAATCTCACTCACATACTTCTGAGCAGCACAGAGGTTTTTATTTGGTTAGTTTCTCCCAGAAGAACTGAGCTCTCCAGTTCCAACTCTCACAGTTCAAGATTTGAAATGATTTATTTATATCATCTGACTCAAGCAATGCATTTGTTCCAGAACTTTGGCGCCTGTGTGCTACTGCTTAGACAGAGGACCATCAGAACAGTCCCATGAATAGAAATCTAAATGCAGCCCCTGACCAGGGACCAATCACTTTTGCCCAGGGGCTTCGGCTCCATGATGGGGGGTTGGTGGGGGGGGTAATCATCAGCACCTGCGTGTGTGAGCATGGCCAGGAGTGCGCTCTGGTCGGCTCGCACAGATGCATGCCTCTTTCTTTTCCTCTCTCTCCTGGTGTCCTTTAGGATTCAATGCCTAAGCTCCCCTTGTTGGCAATTTTGATATTGCCTTTGAGACAAGTGACTCATGTGAGGATGGGTCCATTCTCCATGGCATGTGAATGTGGCCAGAATGTGTATTTCACTGGTGTTGATCCTCCTGTCTCCCTGTTGGAAACGTGTTTGCTGCACATAAAATGTTTAATGCAATCAAATTTTCTCCAACTGAATGAAGACAACATGTAATTGCCACCTGCCTTCATGGGTCTTCCCCAAGTGGCTCCTGTCCAGTGAGATGGCTGGGAAATTTAAAGTCACCTCAAACGCAGGCCTCATAAAAATACCCAGGAAAGGGTGAGACATGCTACTTGTATTTCTCTTTATTGACAAGTTGAATATTGAATGACTTGTCATTAAGTTCCCACCACACTTAGAGCGTGTGCCTAGTGATGAAGATCAGGGCAGGAGAGGGGCTGGCTTCTTCCAGATCCCCAACTAGATGCAGCAAAACAAGCCACAAACCTCTGAGTGAAAAAACGCACCACCCCATCACACACTGGGAGCAACAGCCTAGTGGAAAGGCAAATGAATTATGTTTATAGTGATACTGAGCAGCGCAACCCACAAAAGGGTGGCGGCTATATGGGGGGCCCTACAGTTGATGACTCAGGGCAAATGCCACATCTGGGACACTTGAGACCCAGCAATGCCCTGGATAAGGAGTGCACAGAGTTGGAACCCAGGACAAAGGGTGCTCTGATGGAAGCGGCAGGGGTGCAGAGCGATACTGCCTTGGTCAGAGGCTTCCCGTTACTGCCTTGGTCAGAGGCTCCCAGTCTAGAACACTTGGAACCTACATCAACACCTGTGACTTTTCATTGAAGAGGCAACTATTGGAAACCAGTGCCGGGATGTTCAAATTATTTGCTCCACACCCCAGGGCTAAAGTTAAAACCAAAATAACAGGAGCAAGCCCCCCCCCCCCACCTACCCACCCACCCAGGATAAGGCTCAGTGCTAGAAAAGAAAAGAGAACAACTCCCAGCCTGTTATCCCTATATCAGTTGCAATTCGCACCTAGGGCTGCTGCGTCTAGAATTCAAAAACAGCCAAGAGGTGGAAGCAGATGCGAGGCTATAAGAGACACTCAGACCAAGGAGCTGGCTCAGCAGAGGGGGTCACAGTGCCCCCCATAGCACAGGAGGAGCTTGAATCCTTGAGGCGACTGGAGGTGACCCTCCAGTACCCTGCTGCCCTGGTCCTTTTCACCA